TTTCTTTGTATCAGGAAAGGAAGCGAAAAAATAGTCTTTGTTTCTCCAACCATGTAATGCAAACCGACATCAAACTTGACACAAATAAATGTCAGACATACATGATGAAAGTAGAGCCTCAGAAGAAAATAAAGCAAGGCTCATCGTGTATAAGCGTTCTTCTAACAATTATCGAAATGTGTATTATTAGGGGTAGCAATAACTTTTTATTGCTACCCTTAAACTTCCATAGGGGTAGCAATTGATACCCCTCGCATAGCTGGCGCGCCGCCTATGGAAAGATGTACAATATAAATTTCACGATACCCGTGTCTAACGATAGGAATAGTAGAAAGGTCTAAAACGTTCACAAGAAATTGTTCTCCTTAGCGAGTTTTTCTATGAAAAGTTTCAACTCAAAATTCGAACATCAATTTTTTTGAATATCTCGGGGCGGGGGTGGGGCAGGCACTCAAAAAAGCTCATACCTTAGAAATAGACTAGTTTCGTCACAATAAGCTATCCGCCCAAAATATTTTTAGCGTATTCATAACTCATCGGAAGCTACATAATGTAAGTAGTTTCAATGCAAAAGCGATTGAACACTTGGTGACCCTCCCTCGCTAGTTTTAGGTCGCCGACGTTGTCAATGTACTTTTATGTTACTCCGCTTTCTATTTGCACGCAGTAGCGAATTTCAGCCTTTTAGCATTGATTGCATCTGAGTGATCAGTATCCTATTCACATCACTTCGTAGTAATCTTTGAAATCATGAAAATAAATTCAATCAAATTCATTTGCATGCTGTTCTTTCGATTCTATGTTGTTCATCAGCAAGTATTCATATTATATTTGTTAGTTTCAATTAAATTTCGATGATTACTTTCACCAATATTTACTCGAATAATCACCAACGATGACGACAACAACAATGATTTCATTCTTCAAATAGTATATTATTTACGAAAAATATGAATAAAAACAAATACTCATTTGTTAACCATTTTAGTAACCATCTTTTTTATTCGTAAAGATTTATTTATATATATATATATATATAAATATTTCTATAATTTAATTCTTTTTCGTAGAAAACAAAAAGCAAACCAACCCAATGGTCTTCGTCCTCCAAATAATATATAGAAAATCAAAAGGAAAGCACCTATACCATACGACCAGAAAACTGTAGATTCCCGTGGTAAACGGCAATGTGATACTCGTTCATTGTTTGTTGTTATTGATAAAAGCATTAATGATGGATCATCACGGTTACGCCAAGAAAATGATGGAACTGTCCATTCCGGAATTACTTTACCTTTTATATCAGTGTGTTCTGTATAACAAAAATTATGTGTATGAGCTGTGAAAACAAGACGTGGTTTTATTTTCTTTAATAGATTATCCGATGCTTCTCGTGATAAAACATCATAACGTTCTTTATGTCGAGTAGATTGAGACAGCGAAGACTACAAAAACAAAAAAACAAATTGATTAAATATGTAATTTAAAAGAAAAAAGATCGATTTTATTGCTTTACTTGTCTCCATACTGAACAATTTGCATCTGACTCACGATATAGTGGAAAATGTGATAAAAATACAGGTTTAGTTGCTAATCCAGATCGATGAAGTTCATTAACAATTTCATTCAGTTCTTTTTCAGCGCGTGCACATAAGCGACATTGATCACCTTCGAATGCCATTGAGTTAATCAATATGAAATTAATATCATCATCATGGATTGTAATTAAACGTACATGTGGCGCTTGAAATGATTGTTCAAAACGTTCTAAACGACCATCTGATACATCATAATGAAAGCCGATATCATGATTTCCAGCAAGTGCATACAATTTTGTACTTGTTGGAACAGAAAATAATGAATTAAAACGACGAACAGTCTTTTCCCATTCATGATCTGAACACCATTTTCCTTCGTCAGTTAAATCGCCAAGAAAAAAAATAACATTAGGTTCAAATAGAAATCGTGCCGATTGAAATGAACGATACATTTGCCATTCACGACGTAATTTATCAAGCCAATGGCCTTCACGTGAACCAAGTAGATGTGTATCTGCTATAAACATGACATGTAATGGCTTTCGATAGGGATCATTGGGTGGTCGAGCACTAAAATCTTGATCTATTTTAGATAATTGTGGCCATGAACAACCCAACAAAACAAAATAATAAATCAAAAATTCACAATAAACAAGTAAGAAGAATATTAAACAAGCAATTTTAGCTAGAAAATGTAACATTGCTGGATAACAACAAACATTAGCTGTCTTCATATGAATCGAAATGTTTTGTATGTAATTAAATTGTACGATAAAACCTGGAACATAATGATTGCTTTTTTTCGAATGTTTTATCACTGAAGCATACAGAACATGACCTATTTGAAATCACTATCTGAAGGTACAATTAAATAAACACTTAAGAGAATATTTATGAGATATTTAGTTTTTTAATTTTAATATTTTGCTGACATTGATTTGCGACATACAATAGAAACCAGTACAAGACAAAAAATAACATTCAAGGAATGAATCTAAGGTTTTGGATTGTGAGATTCTCGAGATTTTGTGTCGAATAGTTTCAAGGTAGAAAATTTCATCGAATAGAAAAATACAATAAATTATTCTGATATTTCAGATGTAATGACTAAGTAAATTATGCACGAAAAAAAAATGCAACTAATTGTATTAGTCAATTCGAGAGAAAATTATTCTCTCTTAAAACTATTCATAAATTAGACTGCGTATCGAAATAAATAAATTCGACTAGAACACATAGAAACGGAATGAAAACAAACTGAAGTGGGTAAATTATTATTGTTGTTGTTGAATAATCTCTTGCACAGATATTTTTGGTTTAATAAAAAGTGCAACAGCTTTAGCATAAATTTGACCTTCACCATTTTCAACGACAGCATGGACGTATACTTTTCGACCTTCTTGACGTTCAACATGAGCTCGAACTAAAACCCATGTTGGTGTTAATAATGGTTTAACATAATCAATATTAAGATTAGCCGTAAAACAAGGACCAACACATGAGAATCTATTCGAAAAGTTTTTCTTTTTGAATAAAAATCCAACAACTTACGCAGCTGCACCGCTGACTTCATCGATCATTGTTGCTGTAAGTCCTCCGTGTCTATTTCAATATTAAATTCATAAAATAAATAACTTTTCAAAAAAATAGGAAACAACTTACACAATGCCTTTATGTCCACAAATACCTTGACCAAGAAGAAAAGCCACTTGAACTTCTGATTTCTCTTCACGCATCGGATCATCATGCGTCGGTGGACTTGTTGATAGACCATTAAATGCTTTTTGTACTCGTTCTGCTTGTTTTTCAGTACCCATAAAATAAAAGAAATGTTGAATACCATTCGAATTCAGTAATGAATCGAATAAAAGATGACCGGTTATATCGTAGAGTTTAGTTCGATCAACAAAACGACCATTTGATGGTAGAGCACGAACCCATTCTGGTGCATCCGATGGTATAGCTGGTAATTCAACCAAATCTGTTTGATCCGTCATATCTCTAGTTTTACTATTCAACGATGTACAGTGTTTTTCTCAACTATCAACTATCAACAACAACATAAACTGACTCTCTAAAATGTTATTGAGTGGATGAGTCATATTATGACTTAGCAATTTAAATAATAAATCAATCAATCAATTGACTGAATGAATTCATATTCATTAGATATTCTTAAGTGATTTGCTGTTAAAATGAAGCTCAGTTAATAGAATCATAAATAAAAATAAAACTTCATTTAAAAGAAATCAATCAAGCGACAAACACATCATGTGCCATTTTCCGATTGGATGAAACTGCCATCTATTGACAACAACAGCGCATGCTATAAAGTATTCTCCTTTAAGTGATTCTCATCGAAAATTCAGAGAGTTGAATGACACATAATCATGACTTGCAACACTCTATTTCTTTTTCCATCAATTGAATAATTATCTTGAATATATATTTTAGCTAATTTATTAAAATACCCATATAATAATATATAAAGTACAATTGAAGCTGGAATGATAGATGCTTTTATATAAAGATACATTTGAAATACAAACATAACGCTCAAGTCAAAATGAATTATACTTATTGTAAATGCAATTTTCTACTAACCATATAAAAATATACACTTTTACAAATAGTTCTAGTTAACGGTAAAGAAACACAAGAGTTGGATATGCATCTGTTTTAGTTTCTACTCGATTTGTACAGTAAATTATTGCCCACTTAATCTGATTGAAAACAACATATTGCTTTTGAGATCTGTTTTCATAGGAATTTCTTGATTTGTATAGCAAATAAAATTACATTTACATTTAATCAGATTCATTATGACCAAATAGTTAGCTTTGGAGGAAAAGAAATACTACTTAGGGTTCTGTGAAAGCCGTCGAATATGTTCCTCTATCTGAGCCACTTTATCATGTGTTGCTGTAGAGCCACGACAATATATAGCTTTTGCTTTTAGAAAATAGTCAAGTGCGAGCTGAAAGTCTCTTTTTGATTCATAAATACGGCCTATATTTTCAAGAGTTGCTGCGATAGTTGGATGTTGAGCAGGAAGTGTTGCTTTTTTGATATCCAACGAATTAAAATAATGTTTCAGTGCAAGATCATATGAACCTAAACATAAATAAATATTCATCATGATGGTAAACTCAATAGATATTATAGTCGTTTTCAAGTACCCTGCTTCCAATAGACATCACCGATACTTTCATGCGTATCTGCAGCTCTCGGATCACCATATTTAGGTAACATTTTCGTTTGAAATTCAAGCGCCTGATTATACCACTTCAGACTTGTGTCGAAATCTGTTTTAGCTAAAGCTATTGAACCAAGTAAGTTGAAGCATCGTAATACATCGTTATGATTTGAAGGTAACGCTTCAAGACAGTGATTCGCATATTCTTCAGCTTCATCAAATTTATCTAAATCATATAATACTTTCACAAATGTTAGAAGATCTAATTCTCCATCGCCATATTTCGTTTTCATATCCTCAAAAACTTGTTTAAATTCATGATCATTATCACTATATAATGACATTTCAATAGTATATAAACTATCATCTCCACAAGTAATATTATTGATCATGAATATTGAACCAAACATAAAGAGTACTTCATTTTTATCTGCAGCATACTCTAATGAACCGATTTGTACGAATGGTTTCGAGCCAACTACTCGAGGATCAGCATCAATTTCGATCAATACTCGACAATAATCAGCTTTGACAGTTTGACTACTGTTAAGAAAAGCAAGAGCGACTTTAGCATTCGTTGTTGCTGATAGAAATGAATTTATGACAACACATTGTCCCATGGAACTTATCCATTTATCCAGCAATGTATTTGGTATCCATTGACTTCGATAAACATGCAGCGGTGTTGAACATCTGTGTTCTTGTATTTGTTGTCCAATATCTAACAGAATTTTTCGAAATAAAAATAAATTACGAATATCTTGACTTTCAAGTGAATAATTTAAAATTTTATACAAAAAACATTCTTGAAGATACCACCATAAGGCTCGATTTGATGAATATTTATTTTGAAATTCTTGTAACATATGTAAATCATGTCGATCATCTGCGATTTGTTCGGCACACATTATAACAAGTTCTTCATAATCAGAAGAATCATATTTTAGTCTCATTAAACAATCCAATAGTAATTGTATTTGAAAATATTCAATAGACAATCCATTGCCTGATTGATTCTCGTCGTCAATTTTAGGAGACGCGCACGCACCAGATGCTGTTGCTGATTTATCAGCTTCATTTCGATTCTTTTTCGAAAGTTTTGATCGAATAAAATTCATGATTTCAACTAAAATATTAGATATGAAGTATAACAAAAATCTCCTATGCAACACGAGAATCTCTAGTCACGTTTTAGTCAAGTCTTCATCATAGTTTTATGTTCAAGACGAGAGAAAATAATCGAAAAACTTTACAGATTTTCTACGATTCATATTAAAAAATTTAGACTTTCAAAAAAATTTTATCATTCATATATACATTTTTTTTAATCTTCAACCGCGGAAGAATGACGCACATAAATTTTCCAACCTCTGTTACTTAATACTCTTGTTATCTGTAATGTTATTGGTTAAATATCTTCGATCAATCACAAAGTCATTTTCTACAGAGGACGTAGTTGGTAAAGATGAATCTTATAATTTTGAAAGTTTCATTATGATGATTTCTGCTAAATATGTTGACCGATTTTGTTTAAGATACCAGAGAAAGCATGATATAAATTGTGAAACGTCATCGTCTTCATCCACCAGAGGGGTATAATCATTGCCATTGATTTATATAAATAAAAACGAGAAACGTATGTATGTCTCTTATACAATAGAAATCGAAACCCAATCTATAAATTGTACAAGAAACTTTTTCCATAAAGGCATATTTCAATGAAAATTTTCAATTCGTATTTCAAAAAGCAGTTTTCTTCAAGTCAATGAGCAGGATAAAAGCATTCATTTTAGTAAAATACTGCATTTAGCTGCAATATCTCCTGAGTGAGAAGTTAAATACATTTTTATTTCATGTGAGTCTTCATGCGGGTAGGTAGGCTCGATCTATTGGTTAAAAATTCAGTTAGAATAGGATATTTTTCAACTTTATTACTAAACTAAAAATAGACAAGTTGGTATATGTAGGAAAAGAAGAAGATTTTATGTTTTCAAATAGAATACAAATATTCATAGGTTTTCTTTAATATATCGAACGAGATCTGCAACCATTTTATGTGCAATATCCAAACTTAATGGACCGTATAAGAGATTTATCGAACCATGAAATGTATTTTCATAATGAATATGAACAACTTTAACACCTACTCTTTTAAGACGACCTGCATAAATAAATCCTTCATCACGTAAACGATCGTGATCAACAGTTAATACGTATGTTGGTACTGATTTCGCTAGTTGTGCATCATCTACAAGTAATGGAGATATCTCTGGACCGAGAGCTTTTTTGACTTTCTTAATAAGATTTCGGTCACCTTCATGATCATCGTTGGCGGGTTCTTGATATTTTATTCGATGTTTTGATGGAATTAAAGACCAATCGATAAATTTACGATAATGTTTTTTTTGTTTAACACTCGTATGATTATTTGCATATATTGATTCATCGACAGTTTTATTTAAATAAATCGACAACAGATGATGAATGTCATAATGTACAAGTGAGTAATGTTCTTGACGATGAGATGGAAGCATCATATCAAACAATTGTAAAGATGGATAAAGAAGAATTTGAAGACGAGGTAAATATTGAGTAACTGCACGTGTAACTAAACGCATGGTAATTACAACAGCAAAATTACCACCTAAAATATGTTTTTAAATTAATGAATTGATATTGTGTTCATTTTTCTGAAACAACAAAATGACGTACCAGACGAATCACCAGATATTGCAACCCGTGTTGGATCGATACGTAACTTTTGTGAATCTTTATAGTCAAGAATATATTTTACAACAGTATAACAATCTTCGAGACCGGCTGGAAAAGGATGTTCTGGTGTAAGGCGATAGCTAAATAAACATTTTGAATCATTTCACAACTAGAAAGACGTTATGAATTTTTTAGAGAAAGTCTTCGAATTCTTAGTGTTTGGGAGTTATTAATAGTTCATTAAAATGTCATCTTGAGTGGATAATAATCTTAAATCTTACTCGACGGAGATCACAACAACATTTGCCAATCTTGCCAAGGTACTGGTGAGTGCATTATGCGTATCTATAACGTTATTACAAGAAATTCAAAGACACATCGTTTGATACTTACCAACTGAGCCCATATAAAATGCACCGCCATGGAAAAAGATAATAACAGACAAGTTGTTATTATCATTATTCGGTCGAGCAATTCGAACTCGTACATTTTCAATATATGCATTTTTAATCTAAAGAAAGAATACACGAATACAATACGAGTGTAAGATGCTTATTTCACCTGAACATTAGCATCTTCTGATGCTGTGTCTTTGAAAGCTGTTGCTATTTCAATAATTTTCCGCGCTACAACGGCACGATCTGACAAACCCAATGATTCGGCTACCATACTCTACAGAAACGGAAGCTATCAGAAATAGTAAAGAATTAAAACAAACGTACAATGAAATAACAGAGTTTCATAGGAGCAGTTAATATTCGGATTCGATTGGTCTGCTCCATACTGCCACCGTTAGGTAAATAAAGAAGGTATCCAATACAGCATACTATAATAATGACTAAAATCGTTCGTCGTCGAATTACAATCGCCATATGTTATCTTAAAACGAAGCGTTCATGTAAAAAAATTACATTTTCAATGTGATTATTGGATAACAATACTGATTATTTACATCAACAAATTTCTCGGAAATTTGATCTTTATGAATCTGTTTGAAATATTATATTCCTATTTCAAACATAAATTTAAGAAAACAAGTTATTTTAAAAATTACATGTATTAAAATAGTCAAAACTAAACTAAAAACGATCTTTTTGAATACAACTTTTCTTTTCTCTTCATATAATGAAAGTAGTTCTATTTATGATGAATTGTGCACTATCATAAACAATATCAAATGCTTCATTGAAAACAACCGGAAAATCAAGAAATGTCATCGCACCATGAAATATACGATATTCTTTATATGTGACGTCTTTTACATCAAGCTTTTGTAAACGTTGAAAATACAGTTGAGAATCCGATAAAAAAACATCGTATGTACAAGCACAAATAAATGTTGGTGGAGTATTATGTAAAATATCATCGTCTGCTAATAAAGGTGAGATATTATGATCAAATAATTTCCAAGTGTCTGGATGAGATTCTCCAATGATCTGATGTTCATCTGAAATTTGTAAATTGAGCTTCGAATGAAACTTATTATAATCTTCGGATGATAAATGTTGATTATTAAAAAGTTCATTTTCAATAAATGATGCATTCACATAGAAATTCGTTACTTGTGTAAGGATATCTTCGCGAAGAAGCGATAGAATTTGATAAGGTAAATATCTTACATAAGATGGTGAACGAAAATTAACCAATTGAAGTAATGGATAAAGAAGAAGAACACCACGAATAAGTGGCTTTTGTTCACGACGGAGTTTTCGTTCGACTACAACTGCTATATTGCCACCTATGAAATTCAATTCAAATTTTTCTTATTCAAAAACTCTATTTTAAAAATTCTACATACCTGCTGAATCACCAGAGAGAAAAACTTGTTTAGGATCAATAGAAAATTCTCGGTAATTATCCATAACATATCGTACGACTTTAATACTATCTTCAGTTGGTATTGGATGATATACACTTGGTGTTAATCGATAACTAATCATATAATAAAAATTTAGATATTTCATTAGTTTTTATGGTAATCTACTTACTTGACTGAAATAACTTTTGCATTTGTATGCATCGACATATGATAATTCATCGTATCATGAGAATCTATCGAAATTAAGAAAACATGCAATTTTGCTTTGAGATTTTATAAATCACTTACAAATACTACCAAAAAAGAATCCTCCGCCATGAAAAAATATAATCACTGGAGATAATGCTGCTTTTGACACATTGGTTGGTGTATACATTCGAACAAGAACATTGTCTATATATTGATCATGATACTAAAGACAAGATAAAATATAGAAAAAGTCTGTAAGTAAAATTCAGAACGAATTATAATGCGAAATAGAGATCGCCCTTGAATTAAACAAAAAAAAGTACTACATGTATTTACTTACCAATACTTGACCACGATCGAAAGTACGTACTTTGATTCGATCAAATGAATCAACCATAGTATTGATTAGTGTATAATAAGGAATACCGATGATTGATTCTAAAAATCGACTCTTCAAGATAAAATAAGCGAATGAACGATTGAAATTTCAAGTAAATTAATTTTTATGACTTACAAAATCATATAAGAAAGCAAAAACACCTGTAACAATTTTATATTTTATTGGATGATTCATCGGACCAGGAACACGAACAGGTACAATATAAGCAGCAACAAATGCCATAAAAATTATAGTGCTTATCACTGGCAACAACTGCACTGATACTCTGCATAGCCTAGTTCGACTGGTCATTGGTAACGGAATATTTAAAAAAGTAAAAAGTGATACATCTTGTTTATGTAAACGTACAAATCAGAAGAACGCAAAAGCATCAAGGTGAAAGACAAAGTACAGTAATATAAAATATCGTATGATACTCTCATGATAGAGAAAACAAAACAAAAAGGTACACCATAAAAACAAATAATGTCATGTAAATTCTATACATAAAACAGTGTACATATGCATTTATCTCCAAATCTAATTATAAAATTTGAATAACTAACATTAGGGTCTATTCTTTTAGTTGACATTCGCTTCAACATTATTTAGATGTCTGAATTTGTATAACAACATTTAAGAATAACCATTAAAAATGTTTATCATCATGTTTTGAATCCAGCAGTTTATAATTACAAAAGTAGTAGATTGTAGTAGGGAATTCCTTAATCCAATTTTTCTTACTCTCAAGATAAACATTGATGGCTTTGACAGATACTAATGATGTTAATTATACTCTAATATGACTTGCATATGGTGTGACTACATTGTTTTCGTATACCAATACAAATGCATACTGGTACAATATTATTGTACATTGCTTTCTCGTCTAAACATCCGATGAATTATTAATAGGAATACGAAAATACAGTGTTTTTGTTATGTTACATTTACCTCGAAAAGCGAATAATGTTTGAAGCCAAAATAATATGTCAAGCAAGAAGTTTGTATTTTGCTGTAATATATATATTATTGAACCTAGGCGTATTTATCGTTTTATTTGATTATTTTTGTGCATTTTTGTATTAATACGTATTGGCGCGTAACACGTAATCATACCATACGCCTCTATCGCTCGTGTCGATATACATAGAATATCACATGGCTATTTTTTAAAATTTGTTCCATGCCGTTGCGTTTCTTTATCAGGCCCATTTATTTTTCTATCTATATTTCGACATTTTTCATAGCTACATGCACGCATTTCTTCTACATAAAAGATAAGATCAACCTCATGACACTCTACCTCTCCAATCGATGCATACTTCAATTAACCATAAAAGTTTTTTTTCATGACTGTTATTACAATCATTACCTTGATTGCTAATAGCAAAAAAAAATAAGTGCCAATCAAATTTTTAACTAGAGCAAAACGAAGTTTTTTTAAAGATATAATGAAAGAGATTTTCCATATCTGTGCTTCGTTTTACATACATATCCTGTTTCAAGTCAAAATAGGAATATATAAACATCGTTTTGAACTAAAAAAAAAATGATTTTTCTACTTTATTCGATTATATAATTTCTATGTATGCTGTGCTCTGTCATTTGATTTATTTTTCAATGCATACTCTTATTGTCTGTCCTATCATACCATGTCCATATCAGTCCTATATGTTGCCCATATAATGATGGAATGGATTCTTTGCGCAGAAGAATGAATGAAAAAAGTTCAATCTATGCATAATATGCGAATATCTAGTTATAAACGTTAGTTCATGCGTCTTTGTCTAAAAAGTGGTTGAAATCGTTTCGTCATTTTCTAACTATTTTAAATACTTACATTCTTTACTTCATTCATTAAAAATCGAAAGAAAGAAATATACTAATGTTTGCTTCGATAAATAATTTACAATTTTTAGTACGCATAAGAAATAATTGAAATATTTTAAATTCTATATTATTATGACGAATATTGCAACCTACGATTGATTGATGCATATACTTTGCGAGAAGAAAAAAAGCGAAAAGAATACCGATAAAAAAATCAGTTATTTGCACAATGAACATCGATATATATCGAATATCATAGAAGGGCGTAGGTGTTAGGGAAGACAAAGTTGATGTTTGCATTCACACTCCTGTTATATAAAATAATTAATGAGACCGAAAGAACTAACGAAAAAGTATCTTCATCTGTCGAAAACTGTCTACCCTAGTCAACTCTCCCTAGAAGAATCCCCGGAGACTCACGACAGGGAGTTCCTATGGATTTCGTTCTTTTTCGGGGACTCCCCGGGGAGTTTCTGGCCAAAATCGATGAAATATCTAATTACTAATAAATTCTTCTAATTTTTTTTAAATTTAAAAAAATTAAAAAGCTTTTTTATTTTATAAAATTTCATTAATTCTCCCCTGGCAAATCCCCGGGGACTCACGACAGGGACTCCCCAGGGATTTCGCTATTTTGCGGGGAGTCGTCGGGGGAGAGTGGATTAGGGATCAGTTACTCAATGAACGTGCAGCTCTTGTTGAATTTTTCTTTTTTTTTGTTAAATTATTTTGATGTAAACGTAATGTTTAAAAAGCTCAATAGTAAAATAAATTATTCACATTAAAAAAGAATATAAACTAGCTGCACTTTTCCAACTGTACATAGAGAAAAAAAGACTTACACATAGCAGAACGAGACGGGACGGGGCAAACCGAACGCGGGACATGGGACAACTTTTTGGCTATTCCGTGGAGCTCTGTTTCCTACATTCCCATAAAATTTTACGAATAACTGAGTGATTGCTTAGTTCATTTCATAAAAGAACTGTTAGTAAAAACAATATATAGATATTATAGTACATGCGATTTTTATTTAATTTCGAATAAATTAATGAATGTAGACGTAATGAGTAAGTTTAAAGGTATTTGGAATACAATCTATAGGTTATAATGTTCATGTTCATACTGTTAGTGCTTGAAATACCAACATATTTTGTATCACTCTTTTGTTTTTGTAACAGTCCTGTTATTATTCTGGTTGAAAATGAATGTATGAAATCGAAAATCTTCGTATTATGTTAAAATAAAACATTTTTTTCATTAGAAAACGATGCAAATGAACGGTTTGATTCATTTTACTTCAAATTCTTTTCGGGAAAACCATGCAAAAACTTTCTCTTACCACTCTTCGGTCGTTATTCAGAAAGTAGCTGTTGTTTACTTTATGTCACCATCCATGTTACACTGTCAGTCAGATAAATTTAGCATTTTCATTTTCATTTTCTCTTTCGCTTTCGCTTTCATCTGTTCTGTTACTGTACATACATGGCAAATACGATACACATATATGTCCATTCTCTTTTCTTTCATGTTGATATAGTATAGGTATTTTTCGATATGATCATACCGTTTCCCAAGTGCCCTAATAGGTTCTATTTCTAGTTTGTTTATATAATTATAAAAACTTGTTCTTTACAAAACAAAAGAAAGATCTATTTTTGATCAGTTAGATCGGCCAGCCGTTAGCAGTCTGCCAAAAGCAAATATAAAAGTATCCATTATTATTTTTGATTCTATCGTGCGCGAATTTTCAATACATCATATTCATTTTTTTAGCTTGACGCTCAAGGAAACAGTATTTCGCTGAAAATTCAAATTTCTTTAATCTAGTTTCGTTCGCTTCATCTTAGCTGCATCGTATGCAACTTTTACTTCAGTCAACAATAACATACATTTCAAATGCTTGATTTTTTCCAATTTCGACTAAAGTAAATATTACATGACTTATCGAGATTTTCTTGCCGTCATTAGCTCGAAACTTTTTGCTTGTATAAATTTGATAAACTTCCAAATATTTGGATGTTTACGAAGGAGGCAGTAGTTTTTTCTACTGTGATATACTTGGATTCATGCAAGACAATACTAGTCATAAAAATAAAGTCTATTTCAATATTACTTTCATATAGGTTCCTGGTTTCCAAATCAACTCTATACACATTCTCTATATCAAAATCTGATAACTAATTTTTTTCAAAATAATTCAATAATAGTTTCATTGACGGTTCCAGCCAAATTTAAACAGATTTGAGCAGGATTCAAAGGCATGTTTTAACTCAAAAACTATCTGACAAGAGGTAATCTCCTTTTTATTTCATATCAATTCGAAGAAACAAAGTACACTTGAAAAGAAACAGAAAAAGTGCTCGAAATGCGATAGTTAATTTCCTTTACATGTATCATCATTGATTCCATGAAGAATGTCAATTTGGATGAAATATGACGATGGTGTCGAAAAAGTACCAGCCATGCATATCGTTTATCAATTAAATACTATAGTTACTCAAGAAACATCGATTATAGTTGGCTAACACTTACGACGAAGTGTAGCCTCCTATCTCGCATATGAAAAAAAGAATTGATACGTACGACTTAATGATCGTACCTATCACAAGCTTCTTCTTGTTCGTTTTATATTTTTTCTTTCTTGAAAGCTATACACATATTTCTTCATAATCTTCTCCCCTCTCTACATATTATATACAAGATCGTGCTTTTGCGAGGAACATCTTTTCTTTTTTTTAACCAAAAACTCAACTCAAAAGTTTTTAAGAAATGGATCGATTTTGAGATACACTATGGTTCCGTCGGATTTGGTAACAACCGATTTGGTATCCAGTTCACTAGCTAACACTAAGAGTCGCGCATATCTATTACTAATTACTTAGGTTAAAACTCAAATAATAACTCAATCATATTTGAATCATTGCTTACTTATTTCCTATGTAAAAAAATACCCAAAAAAGTGACTACTAAATATTTTCAATAGGAGATTTTACGTAGGGCAAAGTACTTATAAGTGAACCTTTTTAAAAGTATTTGTCATACTTCTTGACTAAAAAGTACTGATAAGTACTTTTGAAAGTAAGAAAAGTATGATACAGTACTATAGAAAGTGAAAAATAGTAAAAGAACTTACTTTATTTTACTTTATTACTATTAAAAGTGATTAAAAGTGACTTTCAGTTCACTTTTTTTTTACATGGATTATGAATAATATTTATCAATGATTAAATATTTTCTATACTATTGAAAGTTACTGTGAAGACTTACGAATCGAATAATTTTATAATGAATCCTAACCCGGGTCAGCGATTATAGACTTTGTATACAAGTATACGACCGTAATTGTTCGATCTGCGAACCTATCTCAAGATTAAATTAAGTATATTTCTTGGTATCAATGGTTAAGATTCTCGTTTATAACGTGATCGCAACAATCACCAAACGGTGCATTCGATCAAGGTTAGCCTTACAGTGAAGTTCATTCATACATGCGCATTTATGCATGTTCTTAACGGAAAATTTTGAAGGTGCAGCTTTAGTAATTCATTTTTAAGTCTTAGTTTTAATTAATAATTACTGATACTTTCAGGATGTCGCTGTGGGCGAAGAAATGTTCACATAAATCTGTCTCAATACAACCGCATAGCTTTCAACTACTGACTAGTGAATTAATTTCAATTATTATGTAGATTAAAAAAGACATTTTGTTTCTTACAAAATAGTTTAGACTTAGTTTAGTATTTCAAAAATAAAAAATAATGATAACGAACATGAGCTTTAATTTAACGATTATAATCTTATTCTTCACATAACTGATTACGCTAATATCATGTTTTTTTTACACTGGATAGTTCAACATGACAAATTGCTAGCAAACGAGGATCTTCAAACATTCGATTAGTGGTGGGCAATTTTTATTGGCTTAAATTTTCAAAGTTTCGCTGTTCTTCCTTTTTTATTTTATACGCATGATGTACTTTTAGTGTTCTTGTACGTCAGTACCTGTAGGGCCTGCATCTTCAAGTAAAAACTCGGTTATTTCATAAACAATAATTGTTCGAAATAAAATCTCTGTTATACTATGATCATTTCAACAAAAAAATGTGCCATTTTAAAGTATTATCATGCATATGCTCATGGCTCTTATAAAAACATGCTCTCAGGGCTTATTCTCTGCTTGAATATAAACTAGCGTTGTCGTGCTTCACCATTTATTAAATATTCTTTACTAATTACATTAAATTCATAACGAGGGAACATTTATTTAATATAAGGCAAATTGAAAAAAAAAGAGATCAAGTTGAACTAAAGAAGATTATCATACACATCCTGGGAAAGTCTCCCTGAGAAGAAACCAGTTTCTAATTCTGAATTATAAATACTGACAGTTTGCCAATAACATTCTTCACATTTCTTTGGATGAAAAAGGCTGAAGTTTTTGTAAGATCGTTTGTTAAATATTATCAGGTATAAACGCTTCGTGGCTGTCAACTTTCATACTAACAAAATTTGTATAAACATACTCTTTATTGTCTGATCTTAATTGATAATGTAGTTTGTTTATTAGTTTAACATATTTTTTTCTTCAGAAACAGTTCTTTATTTAAGCGGTACAAATGCAAATCAACATTTCACCACATATATACAAACATAAATTCTACTCCAAAAATATATTCGTATAAAGGATGTAGTACAAATTTGATCAGATTCTCAAAGTTTTCTAGATACGAAAGACATTTAAAATGTTGATTTCATTTGAAAGCTTTACTAGAGGGTACAACCAATATCTATTACAGTAAGAAATCATGCCTCGTACTTCCTGCACATGTTTTATTCGTACATTTATCTGTAGTAAAGTTGAGCTATCTCAATGAGAACTGTTTACTTCGTTGTTGAATGTTTTAAATAAAATGTTTTGATGTTTCCAACGGTGATATAATTTCAACATTTCTATCAGTTTATCTAATGAGCAATTTTTTCTCGTGCACGAAATGAACCACTTGATCAAAAATCATGCTTTTCCTATTATATATAAGATGTACTTGAAAATGCCGTAAAATATTTTTTGCTAGATTAAACATTCTTAAATATTTAAAATGTTTATGGTCTGCTAATATATTCTATTATAGATCTTATGAAGACATAAAATTGCTAAAGAAAGGCTTCGCAAGCATTAATATTAGAAAAAGAAATTTTGCTTAGAAGGGAATCAATAGGAGACAAAATAGGACGAAGAAAATAATAATTACATTTAGCTTGCATAATGTTCCCGAGGAAACAGTTCATTATATGTTCACGTTCATTGATTCATTTTGCAAGTTGAATCCTACGCTTCTCTATGACTAGAGTTCATATGAGAAATAGTTAATAAAAAAAGAAAAGAAAAACGTTTTCGATTGTCCTTTAGCATGTTGATATCAAATATCAAATTTATATATAAAAAAAAAACTCAGCTATGCACAATCAGAAGTTGGAAATATTACTCTTCTCATACTGATTTACATGGAAGAAAACCACTGTAAACATATTCAGTTCCTTTAATTTTTTTCACTACTGAACACGCTGAAAGTTTGCTTCAGCAGAAAGAAAGTAGCGAAGCAAAAAAAATTTAAGTACTTGAGATGATAATATTATCCGAGAAAAAGGTCTTACTACATTTTCGAGCATATTTGATGAATAACAGTGAAAAGCTGGTTTATTTTATTAAAAATGATTAGTTACTCGCATGAGTTAACATTACTAAGCATATCAACACAAAAGAAAATTTTCAGCTCAAACATATCAAAATATTAACGATTATAAAATAAAAATCTGTTTACAAGATATTAATATATTTGATATGTAACTCAAGTAAGTTTTCTCTAGTGTTATACTTAATAGTTATAAGTAAAATAGCCCGAACTACCAAGTGTTTCTGCCCAAAGACAAATCAAATGAGCTACAAAATTTTATCGCGCACTAAACGCTTCAGCACTTAAAACATATCCGAAAATGCTAAGATCTTATTTTAATGTTGATGCATGTGAAACGTCAATGGTGTAAGACACAAAGAAAAAAGAAAAACCGAAGCGCGATGCTTCACTTTAATCATATCATCTAAGCATTAAAATTTTCTTTTAATACTAATGTCAATACGACACCCGTAAGTGATTACACCAGCAAACACGTAAGCCGATTAAATTATTTTCTTCTTTCTTTTTGTGTTCATATATGCTTACATAGAATGAAAAAGACAATCTGTACTTAAGAGAAAAGTTGGTGAATGATTCTTGCGAAGAGGTTGGTGAAAGTAATTTTGAGAAACATTTGAAAAGATTTTTTGTAGCATGAAAAGATTTTTAATTACCGTTTAATTATAGTTCTATAGTTCATTTTCAAAAATGTACAAGGGCTCATTATATCATTCATTGATTTTTCTAGTATACAAACGATCATTGAAGATAAAGAACTTTCGTTAAATTGCTTACTAAAGCACTTTTTAATTGAGAGATAAATGTAGCCATTATATAGCACAATTATTTGATGGCGATTAGTATTTTGTCTGGCATACGATTAAATTAATTGAGTTCACCTTTCCTTTTCCTTTTTTTCTGCTTTCCGCTCTCATAAAAGCCTGTTTCATAGATGAATAGATAGAGCAGAACATCTCTATATATTTTTTTTTTGTTTTTAGAGTGTCAAGAGTTTTATATTTAAATAGAAACCATCTTTGTTCTCCGAATAACATAAATAGCCATATTACGACGAAAACAATTCATTTTATTCCGTTTTTATTTTACTGTACTCAGATACGTTATAAACAGTATGTATCTATACGCTATAATATCTTCACTTATTTGCATCCAACTATTATCAATAGTATCGATTGGTAGGCGTAAATTTATATTTGACTTTCACTTGTTTATTTATTCTTTTTGAAGATGCAAACCCATTGAATCCAGCTCTTTATTCAGGTGCATTCATTCAAAGACCAACATTATTGGATAGTGCAGCAACTTCGAATGAAGATAATCAAAACGAAATATATATCCAACATCCTCGATTATCATCATTCTTAAGGTTTGGCCGACAAATGCCGTCAGCATCAGCATCGTCGCTTCGCTTTGGCCGTGGTGGACAAATAGGTGGACAAGTCGGTGGAACATTTCTTCGTTTTGGTCGACAAACTCAAAATCCACTTTCGAGCAATTTTCTCCTCTCCGGAAACAAAGGCGAATTTTTAAGATTCGGTTGAATCTGTTGAATTTATTCGCAACAATAAAAATGAGTCTACATTATCATATGACTTATGTGATGCAAAATAAAAGCCTTTATAAAAATAAAATCTTTTTATTGAATTAAAGCAAAGAATAGACTACAGATAAAATCAGTTATATTCCGACAATTCATAGTTCATCGATATTTTAATTTTAAGATAAGACATTCGCAATTATTATTGATCTTCCATGATATTGTCTGCTTAGTTTACAACATGATCATGGTAGATATATCATACAATTTCTACTGAAAATAATTGAAATAAATTAGATAGTAGAAATATTTTTAATTAACAGTCTTGCAATATTGATAGAAATAGTTTAGGTTCATAGTTGTAGACACAATTGAACTAATGCTGCGTCAGTATGTAGAAGATTAATGAAACTTTGTTGCCATAAATATAGCTTCATACCAAGACAATATTTTTAGCATTTTAGAAAAATGAAAGCGGACCAAACGAAAAGTATTATTATGTAGCAATGCACACGTACTCCATGGTAAATCAAAAATATCCACTGAACAAGACTTTTTTCTTTTTTGGTCGAATAAAAAACGACCACAATAAATCGATGTTAATCTTTTTATTCTATTACCGACTGGCACTCCCGTTGCATGATAAAGAATATCATATAATAAGAAAGATTCGTGCTGAAGTTGTCAAGACAAATATAATTAAGGGGAGAGGGGGGG